CAATAAATCCTGTTAACCATTTCACAGAGTACTTTTTATTCTTGGATCTCGTGTTTCTGTTTAGGTAAAATAAAGATTCCCACAACACATACCTCCTTCACTTTGTTCTTCTCTTAGGAGCTGCTTTGATGTGTCCCATCTTTCAGGAGTTTTTGAAGCTGCTCCTGGAAGACATTTGAAAACAATTAACTTGTGCTTTCAACAACACAGTTTTCTTTTCTTCAGTGTAATAATCACAGATGCCATGAATAGCTGTGAAGTGATTCTTTTAATAGTCAACTACTAAACCAAAAAAACAAACAAGCAATGCTTACGTTTTACACTTCGCTTACGGGCAGGCTTTTGTTTGGCAATCCCTGGCTCATCTCCAGGAACTGGTGCATCCTCTATAAAACAGTCATAAGGAACAATATGATTCACTTAAAACTAGCCTTGTTTTTACTTAATGTTACTGATTGTGATTGTGATCACCCTACTTAGGAAGGAGGAATAGTGTATTTTTTAGCCTAGTCATGGAACAGTGAACCAGATCTTTACCTTTGTAGAGTTGCTAAGGGGGTCATGGGAGTTTGACTCTAGGTGTATTTTGTCGACCAGGAAAAGATATATGACCCTGCTCTTCAAGACTCAAGGGAKTGCTTTAGGAGTATGCGGCACWGGAGTTGCTTTTAGAGGCTGTCCAGAAACTGAACACCAGCAGGAGTTGTGTCTACATCACAAGCACAGACTCAAGCTTGTTCTTAGGCCAAGTTGGACTTCTCCAGAATTAACCCTCATCTTAAAACTTGGTTTTGGTGTTCATGGCCTTGATGTTAGGGTCCTGTCATATAAATGAAGGTGTCTAGGTCTGTAACCTCAGATTAGATTAGATAGAGACAAGCAAATGTTACAGTGATTGTAAAAAACTGCTCTTCAACTAAGATTTAGGTCATTTTTTAAACTATGGAATATTCTCCCTTGTCTGCTAAAAATGCTAAAGTACAAATGTGAGATAACTGTATGCCATTCAGATTTCCTTTCAAATTGTACACAATGTCCATCATCTTAAAATATTAYGTTTAGTCTGACTTGTGTATGAAAAAATCAAATATTTTAGTCCAGAGTTAATCTGGCCAATCACAGCTCTGTCAAACAAGTGAAAATGGAGTGCAAAAACTGATTACTACRCACCAATACCTTCTGTACTTTCTTCTTTTGCCATGAACTTTGAGGTATCTTGTCTTTCATTAGCCTTTGAAGCTGCTCCTGGAAAACATTTAAACACATTTCATTGACATCWTTGCTATCAAAGTAGTCATCGACAAAATTGTGCTTTCAGCAACACTGACTTTTTTCCCTTGATCACACAKGTCCAGGATTGCTGTACAATGATGCTCAGACAAGTCAAACTGACGAGAAAAAAACTTACTAAGACAATAATGCACATGCTTACGTTTCATGCCTTGCTTCTGGGCAGGCTGCTGTTCTGTGGCCTCTAGTTCATCTCCAGGAACTGGTGCATCCTCTATAAAACAGTCATAAGAAAGAAGATGATTCAATTAAAACTTGTCTAATTTCTCCTGTATTGTTACATGTGGTGGAAATATATTATATAATCCTGCATAACTGCTAAGTTCACATTACCTTGACATGTTCTGTTCTATATCTCTGATAAACTGCCACAATTGTATAATCTGTTCTCATGATTCTTTAAGACGCCATCTCACRTCTACAGACCTTGTTCCCATTACATATTGCATGAGTAACTTGTAATTTTCTCATTGGTCATCTGATCTCTCTCTACCATTGTGTAATGCTCTTATTTGCTGTTCTCAGACCACGCCGGAAGTATAAATTGCATTTCCTGTCTCTTGTTAACTCAGTGGTGACTTGACTCTGAGCTATTG